GTGTGAGGGTGGTGCCATAATTTGCGCGGCGGACGCATGTGGACGGTGGCACTGGGGCCTTCGGTGGAGCTCCCTATGGAGCCACGTGATGGGGGGTGTCGAAATTTGTGTGGGGACGCAAGAGCACGGTGTCACTGGGGCCTCCGGTGGAAGCCCCTACGGGGCCACGAAGAGTGTGATGGGTGTGCCGGAATGGGTGCGGGGGACGCATGTGGACGGTGACGCATTCGGTGGAGCTCCCTGTGGGGCCACGAAACGAAACGTATGAGCGCTGTGCCGACATGGGTGCGGGGGACGCATATGGACGGTGGCACTGGGGCCTTCGGTTGAGCTCCCTATGGGGCCACGAAACGTGCGAGGGGTGTGCCGATATGGGCGCGGGGGATGCATGTGGATGGTGACGCTGGGGCATTTGGTTGAGCCCCCTACAATACATCCCCAGGCCGAAAGTTTTTCCTCTTGGGCTAACAGTATGGGAACAGCAATGGATCAAATTGGATCCTTTTTCTCGGGTGTGGGATATTTTCGTGGATCCTACTTCTGCGTTGCGCGGACCAAATTTCCTGTGAGAAAAACGATGGATCCATGTATTTCCCGGGAATAAATTTACAATAGTAATTAAACATCCGGAACCCAGGGGAAATGGGATCCGCGGAGCACCGCAAGTGAAGCATCATGCTATCCACGGAGCTGTGGATCTGCTGGCGGATGCTATGATTCTACGGGGGCGGGGGGCCTTCCCAGGATGAAGAGGGGAAGGATGAGGGAGAAGGCAAAAGGAGGTGGGAGGAGAACAGAGGGGACGCAGGGGGGGCATGTGGGGCTCAAGAGGAAAATCTTCCGGCTTGCGTAAATGGGATTTCGAACTGCGTCTCCCGCGCCAACGCTGTCCTGCGTGGAAATGCGAGAGGGGTGCTAAATCTTTAGTGGGATTCCGGACTGCGTCTCCCTCGCCAACGCTTTCCTGCGTGGAAAAGCGAGAGGGGTGCTAAACCTTTCATCCCCAAGCCGGAAGTTCTTTCCTCTTGGACTAACAACGTGGGAACAGCAGTGGGTCCAATTGGGTCAATCTTTCGGGTGTGGGAGAGTTTCGTGGATCCTATTTCTGTGATGCGCGGATCCAATTGCCTGTGTGTGTGAACAACGATGGATCCATTTATTTCCCGGGAATAAATCTACAATAGTAATTAACATCTGGTACCCAAGGGAAATGGGATCCGCGGAGCACCGCAAGTGAAGCATCATGCTATCCACGGAGCTGTGGATCTGCAGGCAAATGCTATGATTCTACGAGGGAGGGGGGTCTTCCCAGGATGGACAGGGGAAGGATGAGGGAAAAGGCCAGAGGAGGTGGGAGGATAACAAAAGGGATGCATGGGGGGCATGCGGGGCTAAAGAAGAAAATCTTTCGGCCTGCGTAAGTATGTGGCCACGAAACGTGTGAGGTGTGTGCCGAAACAAAGTGCGGGGACACATATGGACGGTGGCACAGGGGCCTTCGGTGGAGCTCCCTGAAGCATGTAATGGGGGTGTCGTAATGCATGTGGGGGGCGCACGTGGACGGTGCCACTGGGGCCTTCGGTGGAGCTCCCTATGGGGCCACGAAGCCTGTAAGGGGTGTGCCGACATGTGTGCGGGGGACGCATGTGGACGCTGGCACTGGGGCATTTGGTGGAGCTTCCTGTGGGGCCACGAAACGTGTGATGGGTGTGCCGAAACGAATGTGGGGACGCACGTGGACGGTGGCACTGGGGTCGGTGGAGCTACCTACGGGGCCACGAAACATGTGATGGGGGGTGTCGTGCTGAGTGCGGGGGACGCACGTGGACGGTGGCAAGGCGTGTGCCGGAATGGGTGCTGCGGACGCAAGTGCGGTGTCACTGGGGCCTCTGGTGGAGCTCCCTATGGGGCCACGAAGCGTATGAAAGGCGTGCCGAAATGCGTGTCGGGGAAGCACGCATGTGGACGGTGGCACTGGGGCCTTCGGTGGAGCTCCCTATGGGGCCACGAAGCGTTTAATGGGTGTACCTAAATGTGTGCGGGGGACGCAGGTGGACGGTGGCACTGGGGCGTTCGGTGGAGTTCCCTATGGCGCCACGAAGTGTGTGAAGGGTGTGCCAGAATGGGTTTGGGGGACGCAGGTGGACGGTCGTATTTGGGCCTTCGAAGGAGCTCCCTATGTGGCCACGAAGCGTGTGAAGGGTCTGCCGACATGGGTGCGCAGGACGCATGTGGACGGTGGCACTGGGGCCTTCGGTTGAGCTCCCTATGGGGCCACGAAACGTGTGAGGCGTCCACCGAGCGTGTGACGCATGTGGACGGTCGCGCTGAGGCCTTCGGTGAAGCTCCCTATGGGGCCACGAAACATGCGAGGGCTGCGCCGATATGGATGTGGGGACACATGTGGACGGTCGCACTGGGGCCTTCGATGGAGCTCCCTATGGGGCCACGAAGCGTGTGAAGGGTGTGCCGACAAGGGTGTGGGGGACGCATGTGGACGGTGGCACTGGGGCCTTCGGTTGCGCTCCCTATGGGGTCACGAAGCGTGCGAGGCGTGCGCCGAGCGGGTGACGCACGTGGACGGTCGCACTGAGGCCTTCGGTGGAGCTCCCTCTGGGACCACGAAAAGTGTGAGGGGCGTGCCGAAACAGAGGCACGCGGAGGACAAGTAGGCAAGGAGGGGGAGAAGGGAGGAGGAGAAGGAGGAGGAGGAGGAGGAGGAGGGGGGGAGGAGGAAGAGGAGGAGGAGGAGGAGGAAGAGGAGGAGGAGGAGGACAGGAGAGGAGAGGAGAGGAACGCGGCGACCGTCTCTTCAAAACGCGGACCCAAGACAACATGATGGTTGGGAAAATACAAACACACAAACACACACACACACACACACACACACACACGCGCACACAAACACACACAGCACACACACACAAACACATACACACAAATATCCGGGCGAAAGGCCCAACCATATGCGGTTGTAAGTAACGCGCTCTGGGTGCCGCTTTCGGTGGAGCTCCCTATGGGGCCCCGAAACGCATGAGGGACGTGCCGTAAGGGGTGGGGGAGACGCATGCGGGCGGTGCAACTGGGGCCTTCGGTGGGGCTCACATGGGCCACGAAACGCTGTACTGGGTGTGGCGGACGCTTGCGGGCGGTGCTCCTCCCTGGAGCTCCCGATGAGGCCACGAATCGCTGTACTGGTGGGGGAGACGCATGCGGGCGGTACCACTGGGGTCTTTCAGTGGAGCTCCCTATGGGGCCACGAAGTGCTGTACTGGGTGGTGGCCGACGCATGCGGGCGGTGCCAGTGGGGGATTCGGTGGAGCTCCCTATGGGGCCACGAAGCGCTGTACTGGGAAGGGGGACGCATGCGGGCAATGCCACTGGGGCCTCCGGTGGAGTTCCCTATGGCGCCACGAAGGTGGAGCTCCCTATGGGGCCACGAAGCGCTGTACTGGGAAGGGGGACGCATGCGGGCAATGCCACTGGGGCCTCCGGTGGAGTTCCCTATGGCGCCACGAAGCGTGTGAGGGGTGTGCCGACATGGGTGCGGGTGACGCATGTGGACGAACCACTGGAGCTCCGTACGGGGCTACGAAACGCTGTGTGTGGGGGGGGGGGGGGGCATGCGGTCGGTGCCACTGGGGCTTGGTGGAGCTCCCAATCACTGGGGCCGTGAAATGCAGCACTGGGTGGTGGACGATGCATGCGGGCGGTGCCACTGGATTCTTTGGTGGAGCTCCCTATGCGGCCACGAAGCGCTGCATTGGATGGTGGCTGACGCATACGGGCGGTCCCACTGGGACCATCGGTGGGATTGCCTATGGGGCCACGAAGCGCTGTACAGTGTGGTGGTTAACGCACGTGGACGGTGGCACTGGGGCCTTCGGTGGAGCTTCCCATGGAGCCACGAAACGCTGTACTGGGCGGTGGCTGACGCATGCGGTCGGGACCACTGCAGCCTTCGGTGGAGCCCCTTATGGAGCCACGAAACTGGGTGGTGGCTGACGCATGCGGTCGGGACCACTGCGGCCTTCGGTGGAGCCCCTTATGGAGCCACGAAGCGCTGTGCTGGGTGGTGGCTGACGCATGTGGGCGGTGCCACTGGGGCCTTCGGTGGAGCTCCCCATGGAGCCACGACATGCTGTACTGGGTGGTGGCTGACGCATGCGGGAGGTCCCACTGGGACCTTCGGTGGAGCTCCTTATGGGACCACCAAACGCGGTCTTGGGTGGCGGATGCTCCCACTGGGCCTCCAGGGGCCTCCAGGGACATATGGGTGTCGGGATGAGGGCGGCAGCGGCACCTACAGGGGGCAGGGGAGGGTAGGGTGGGGAGCAGCAGCGGTGCTCGAAGCTCGATCAGCCCTCGATGTGCGCACGCGGCTGCTCTATGTCAGATGTGGCACGCACGCTTGCACAGGGTATGCTCAGCTCGTCCTCGATATTCCCCCCACCCTCTCACTCTGATCATCATCCCGATCCTCGACCTCATCATCATCCGCGTCGCCATCCTCAAAATCGTCATCGGCAGGTGGACCGCATGGCACGGACTTGGCACTGCGAGCAAGGCTTGCGATACCAATAAGACCACAGCCGCAATAGAAATGGCGTAGCGAGTATCTACACAACACTGGCCAAGCGGTGACAGGATATGGTAGCCGGGAGGAGCAGGAGGCGCAGGGCCACAGTGGGCCAGCCACTCCGAGTGGCAGGTTGCCGAGAAATCATTTGCCCAATCGAACCCAGATGGGCTGCTTCAGCGCACCCCTTGCCCAGACCAGGCACTGGGCCCTCGGACGGTGTGCGCGGTGCACGACCTTCTGGCTCCGACCCTGAAGGCCCGTGAACCCCAGAGCTCCAGGAATCATGCCTTCTCACAGCGAGGACCCCCACGCAGAGCTCCACAACCCTTCCCGGGGACGCTTTTCCGTTGACAGCGCGCACAGGAGGGTGGCGCGAGGGGGGGCCTTCTGAGATTTTTTGTTTGAGCTCCACGCTCCATCAAAGACCTCTCCGCGAGGACCAGACGCCCCGAGCAGGGGGCCGACAAAAATCACGGACCGACCGCCGCTCCAGCGAGCCGCAACTGCTGGGAAACGGCTCAGGCCAGGAAGCGGGGGCGCCGCGGGAGGGGTCCTCAAAAGACTGGAGCCATCTTAGAAGCGCCTGGATGCTTCGAGTTGGACATTGCTAGACAAGGGGGGCGAGAACTAGAAGGTGCGAAGAAACGTGCACCTGCTGTGTCTCTTTTGGGCCCCAGACTGCCCATTTCTGGGGCCTCGGAAGAGCACGGGAGGCGCACCTTTCCTCACCCCCTCAGAGACTGCCCCCCATGAGTTACCACTGCGCAGCGCCCGATTCACGAAGGCCCCTCAGAGTTTTAGCAGCCAGGAGGGCTTCCAAGAATCGGGGTCCAACAAAGGGGGGAGGACCCTCAGGTGGGGGGGAGTTCGATCCTTAATTGGCGCATCGAATTTCCGAAAAACGATGCCCCCCGCGCGCCCCGATTGTCGACACCTCTCGAGTTCTGGTGGCGCCCGGAGACCTCGTTTTGCATATTTTCTGCGGTTCGATGCGCCAGCGTGCGAGGCGGGGATTTATCCATATCCACCGCCTGGGAACCGGCGTCCTGGTGCCCGTGGGTATGGATATGTTTCGGCATCGGGGGGCTCGAATATGTCCATATCCACCGCCTACCGAGGCTCCGAAAACTGACCCTCCAGGCGGTGGTCATGTATAAATTCAAGCCTCGGACAACGGACCGAACTCACCCCCTCCCTGTGGCCTCCCCCCCTTTGCGAGGGCCCAATGGAAGTCACCCCTGCCCTCTCACAAGCCTCCGCGCCGTCTCAGAAATCTGCCCCCATCGAGTCACCCTGCCCGCTTACAAGCCTCCTCGCCGTCTCAGAAATCCCGAGGGTTCCAAAGAAGGTTTTTGGGGAGGGATTTTCCGGGAGGGGTCCACCAGGGGCTTCGCACCCCTTGTTTTGACGAAGTTCCAAGGCCCCTGGGGGGCTCTCTGGAAAACCTCCTCCCCGAAAACCAATGTTTGGAAACCTCTGGAAAATCTGCCCCCGTCGAAGCGGGAATCTTCGTGGTCTTCGAGTTCCCAGAACTCCATTCCTGGGCATGATTTTGAATGCCCGGAGCCAACTGTAGGCCACTTCGTGGTCTTCGAGTTCCCAGAACTCCATTCCTGGGCATGATTTTGAATGCCCGGAGCCAACTGTAGGCCACTTCGTGGTCTTCGAGTTCCCAGAACTCCATTCCTGGGCATGATTTTGAATGCCCGGAGCCAACTGTAGGCCACTTCGTGTTCTTCGAGTTCCCAGAACTCCATTCCCGGGCCACATTTTGAATGCTGAGGCAGACTGATGCTGAGGCTGAGGCAGGCTGAGGCTGAGGCAGGCTGAGGCGGAGGCCGAGGCTGAAGGCAGACTGAGGCTGAGGCTGAAGCAGGCTGAGGCTGAGGATGAGGCAGGCTGAGGCTGAGGCTGAGGCAGGCTGAGGCTGAGGCTGAGGCTGAAACAGGCTGAGGCTGAGGCAGGCTGACGCTGAGGCCGAGGCTGAAGGCAGACTGAGGCTGAGGCTGAAGCAGGCTGAGGCTGAGGCTGAGACTGAGGCAGACTGAATCTGAGGCTGAGGCAGGCTGATGCTGAGGCAGGCTGAGGCTGAGGCTGAGGCTGAGGCTCATGCAGGCTGAGGCTGAGGCAGGCTGAGGCGGAGGCCGAGGCTGAAGACAGACTGCGGCTGAGGCTGAAGCAGGCTGAGGCTAGGGCTGAGGCAGGCTGAGGCTGAGGCTGAGGCAGGCTGATGCTGAGGCAGGCTGAGGCTGAGGCTGAGGCCGAGGCTGAGGCTGATGCAGGCTGAGGCTGAGGCAGGCTGAGGCTGAGGCAGAGGCAGGCTGAGGCTGAGGCTGAGGCAGGCTGAGGCTGAGGCAGGCTGAGGCTGAGGCTGAGGCCGATGCAGGTTGAGGCTGAGGCCGAGGCTGAAGGCAGATGAGGCTGAGGCTGAAGCAGGCTGAGGCTGAGGCTGAGACAGGCTGAGGCTGAGGCTGAGGCAGGCTGATGCTGAGGCAGGCTGAGGCTGAGGCTGAGGCTCATGCAGGCTGAGGCTGAGGCCTGAGGCAGGCTGAGGCAGGCTGAGGCTGAGGCTGAGGCAGGCTGAGGCTGAGGCTGAGGCAGGCTGATGCTGCAGGCTGAGGCTGAGGCTGAGGCTGAGGCTCATGCAGGCTGAGGCTGAGGCAGGCGGAGGCTGAGGCCGAGGCTGAAGGCAGACTGAGGCTGAGGCTGAAGCAGGCTGAGGCTGAGGCTGAGGCAGGCTGAGGCTGAGGCTGAGGCAGGCTGATGCTGAGGCAGGCTGAGGCTGAGGCTGAGGCAGGCTGAGGCTGAGGCAGGCTGAGGCTGAGGCCGAGGCTGAAGGCAGACTGAGGCTGAGGCTGAAGCAGGCTGAGGCTGAGGCTGAGGCAGGCTGAGGCTGAGGCTGCGGCAGGCTGATGCTGAGGCAGGCTGAGGCTGAGGCTGAGGCTGATGCAGGCTGAGGCTGAGGCAGGCTGAGGCTGAGGCCGAGGCCGACGGCAGACTGAGGCTGAGGCTGAAACAGGCTGAGGCTGAGGCAGAGTGAGGCTGAGGCTGAGGCTGAGGCTGAGGCAGGCTGATGCTGAGGCAGGCTGAGGCTGAGGCTGACGCTGAGGCAGGGTGAGGCTGAGGCAGGCTGAGGCTGAGGCCGAGGCTGAAGGCAGACTGATGCTGAGGCTGAAGCAGGCTGAGGCTGAGGCTGAGGCTGAGGGAGGCTGAGGCTGAGGCAGGCTGAGGCTGAGGCTGAGGCAGGCTGAGGCTGAGGCTTTGACTGCGACTGCCGTTGCCACTGCGACTGTCATCGCGAATGCGACTACGACTGCGAGAACAGCAGAATTCTACAACTGGATTCTCACCTGAATATTAAGGGGAATGCTTCCAAATATGCTCATACACATCGCTGTTAGGTTGCTTTGCCAGGATAATTCTACCTAGCAACGAAGACTGATCGGTTTCTAATGGTCTCAAAAGAAAGCATCATGACTCCCCAGGGGGGTCTGGGCAGATGCCGGACGGGTGCCCCGGGAATCCGGGGAATTCCCATTTTCACTGCCAGGAGCCACATTTTGACTGCCCGGAGCCAACAGAACACCACTCCCAGGCCACATTTTGAACGCCTGGAGCCAACTGTAGGCCATTTCGTGTTCTTCGTGCTCCCAGAACACCATTCCCAGGCCACATTTTGAATGCCCAGAGCCAACTGTAGGCCACTTCGTGTTCTTCGTCTGCCCAAAACACTATTCCCAGGCGACATTTTGAATGCCCGGAGCCAACTGTAGACCACTTCGTGTTCTTCGTGTTCCCAAAACACACCACATTTTTAATGCCCGGAGCCAACTGTAGACCACTTCGTGTTCTTCGTGCCTCCAGAACATCATTCCTGTACCAAATTTTGATTGCCCGGAGACAACTGTGGGCCACTTCGTGATCTTCGTGTTCCCAGAACAACAGTCCTGTGACATATTTTGAATGCCCGAGCAGAGGCAGGCTGAGGCCGAGGCAGGCTGAGGCCGAAGCAGGCTGAGGCTGAGGCTGAGGCACGCCGAGGCAGGCTGAGGCTGAGGCTGAGGCAGGCTGAGGCTGAGGCAGGCTGAGGCTGAGGCTGAGGCAGGCTGAGGCCGAGGCAGGCTGAGGCTGAGGCTGAGGCTGGCAGGCTGAGGCTGAGGCAGGCTGAGGCTGAGGCTGAGGCTGCAGGCTGAGGCTGAGGCTGCTGAGGCTGAGGCCGAGGCAAGCCGAGGCAGGCTGAGGATCAGGCTGAGGCTGATGCTGAGGCAGGCTGAGGCTGAGACTGAGGCTGAGGCTGAGGCAGGCTGCTGAGGCTGAGGCAGGCTGAGGCTGAGGCCGAGGCAGGCTCAGGCCGAGACAGGCTGAGGCTGAGGCTGAGGCTGAGGATGAGGCCGAGGCAGGCCGAAGCTGAGACAAGGTGAGGCTGAATGGGGGGGGGGAGGGGGGGGAAGGGGGGGGGGGGAGGAGGGGAGGCTGAGGCAGGCTGAGGCCGAGGCAGGCTGATGCTGAGGCAGGCTGAGGCTGAGGCTGAGGCAAGCCGAGGCAGGCTGAGGCTGAGGCTGAGGCTGAGGCTGAGGCTGAGGCTGAGGCAGGCTGAGGCTGAGGCTGAGGTAGGCTGAGGCCGAGGCAGACTGAGGCTGAGGCTGAGGCAGGCTGAGGCTGAGGCCGAGGCAGGCTGAGGCTGAGGCTGAGGCAAGCCTAGGCAGGCTGAGGCTGAGGCTGAAACTGAGGCAGGTTGAGGCATCCGTAGGAATCAATAGGAATCCTTAGGAATCCCTAGGAATCCCTAGGAATCCGTAGGCATCCTTAGGAATCCGTAGGCATAGTTAAGCATTCTCAGGAATCTTTAGGAATCCTTAGGACTCCTCCGGACTTCTTAGGAATCCCTAGGAATCCCTAGGAATCAGGATTCCGAAGGATTCCTAAGGTTTGCTAAGGATTCCTAAGGATTCCTAAGGATGCCTAAGGATGCCTTAGGAATCCCTAGGAATCCTCAGGATTCCATTGGATCCTAAGGCCGTTGCCACTGCGACTGTCATTGCGAATGCGACTGCGAGAACAGCAGAATTCTACAACCTGATTCTCACCTGAATCTTAAGGGGAATGCTTCCAGATATGCTTATACACATCTCTGTTAGGTTGCTTTGCCGGGATAATTGAAGATTCCCCCTCTATAGAGAGGGACGCGCCCGACTTCGGCGCAGGCGGACCGTGGCCGGGGCATGGCGGCGCACGTCGCCGCCTCCTGCGGGTGGCGCTGGCTGCTCTCTGGACGCCCCTGGCTCGCAGGAGGCTGCACCCCCAGGGAGCACCCGCACTCCGGGGGGCGCTCTTCCTCGGAAACTGGAACATGCACATTGCCAGCGGCGTGCTGTTTTTAAATCCCTGGACTTTTTGAGAGTCAGGGACGACGTCGGGGTGGTGTGGTGTATAGTTGTTTCCCCGCTTACCTGGGGAAGTGACGAAACATGTATACACCAACATCCCGTATGCACCAAGATCCGCTTTCCTGTGCGAGTTTCGGTGCAGGGCCGGAAGAAGCGTCGGTGTATAGAGTTCGGTTCCCTACTTCCACGTGGTGGGCACCGCCGCGGTCACGGTGATGCTGCTCCCATCGTACTTGAGGCCCGACGCGTGAAAAACCTCAAGTTTTGGTATTTTCTGCGTGCTCAAAATTCTTTCTGGTGATCAAGGCTAATGAAGGGGCCCTGGGACACACAAATCAATATACACAAATAACAAGATTCCCCCTGTCCTCCCATCTTTTCTGGCTTTCTGTCTTCCCCCCACTTCCCATGTTTTCCTATATTTTCCTGGGGATCGACGATTCATTGTGCCTGTGTGTAATTTTCCCCTCCCAGACCCCCAGAGGTCCGGACCTATTCGCCGGGACCGGTTTTTCATCCTGAATCGTTTTTCGACGGTCCCGAGGGCCGGTAAGGGCCCCCAGGGGCCGAAAATATAGAGAAGCCTTCCGTCGTGATTTTTTCATGACTCGAGGGGGTCTGGGGATCAAGGCTAAACTAAACTGGAACATCGCGAGGCCACCGGAGGTGGGCCGAGCGGGGGGGCGCCGCTGCTGGGCGCCCCCTCCTGGCCGCTGGCCGCTCCCCAGCCGGTGCGTGCGGCGGCGCGCGGCAACGCGCCATCGTCGGGGGCGGCCAAGATCGGGGGCGCGCAAGCATGGATTAGCGATCCATGGATTTGGCGCGCAATCGCCCAATCCATGCATCGGGGGAGGCGGTCTCCCCCAAACGCGGCTGGTGCCGCCTCGCTCGGCGGCGGGAATCCGCGACTTCCCATGGAGACGGGACCCGTCGCTAATCCGCGCCCCCTTAATCCATGTTTGCGATCGCCTGACAAGAGGGGGGCGTCCAAGAGGGGTCGGGGGCGCAAATCATGGCCAGCGGCACGTGCGCGGCCCAGTGGGTGGACCAGGTACGTGATGAAATAAGAAGGGGCGCCATGAAACCTCTGGAAATATCATGGCTCACGCATGATATCCACCCCCCCTAGTCATCCCCCCCTCGTTGCCGCCCCCGAAATCCGAAATCGGGGGGGAAGGGGGCGGGGCTCACTTGCCCGCATTCGAGGCGCCGCTGTTCGATTTGCGATACCTTCGGGGGAGCGAAAGAAGGGGATAGCAAAGGGTTGGGGTAGGCGTACCTGACTTTCCCCCAGCGCCTCCCGGCGCCGGGAGGCGCCCGTGCATCGAGGAGTGGGCCCGGCGGCGGGGCCCGAACCAGCTGCACGCAGCAGATTGTGTCACCACCCGTTTCCCTACCCCCCCCTGTCGTCTGGCCCGATATCTCGAGGCCGCGGGTTCGAGGTCCGGGTTTGTCTTCGCTCGTTCCTGCGCGAAGCTCGAGGCCCCTCCGAGGTCGGCTGTCCATCACCGCTCACTGCGCAGAAGGCGGTCGGCGCAGTTCCGGCACCGCTTGCGCTGCCGCGTGAGCCTGTCAGAAACCTCTGTAAGAAAACCGCACACTCCAGTGTAAGGGCCTCGACTTGAAGGGAAGAAATCGGTGTGGCGAAGAATGATCCCGACATTGCGAGAGGCCGGACATCCCAAGCTTCATTGATGAAGCCTCATCGAAGAAGGGGCCTCCTAGTCTTGCGGATGCCACGACAATGGACACCCTAACAGCCTGTCATCGAATTAAACATGTGATTAACATGTTGACAGATGCCCTGAACATGTTTCAAGCATGGCTTCACATGGTGAAACACAATATGAAAACATGCTCTAGACATCTGGAAACTATTTTTGGCAACATGCTTCCTCTCCATTGATTGGACGCCCGAGTTATCCGGGGTAACTCGGGTCCGGGGTAACTCGGGTTTGGATTCCCGAAAAAGGAACCCGAGTTATCCCTGACCCGAGTTACCCCTGATGATTCGGGGCTCTGGACGCCCGAGTTATCCGGGGTAACTCGGGTCCGGGGTAACTCGGGCTTGGATTCCCGAAAAACGAACCCGAGTTATCCCTGACCCGAGTTACCCCTGATGATTCGGGGCTCTGAATTGATCGTCTTCCGCAATCCTGGTCGCCACGGCTGGCGCAGCTCGATCCACTGGTGCGCCTGGACCCCAGGAGCGGTCCTGGGGGGCCCGTTTCGAACCGGACTCTCCGGTCGGCCGGCCGAGGGGGCGCCCGAGCAGGGCCGTCAGCGCGGTGGTCCTGGAGCGCCCCAGGGCCGGCGATCTGGAGGACGAGGCAGGCGGGTCGCTGCCGATCTGAGGTCTTTCGTCGCTGCCTGACTACCTACCAGACCACCCCAACCCAACCCGAAGACCCGAATTTCGGGTTGGGGGGGGGTATATAAGGGTTCCACACGTGTTTGTTCGATGTTTCCCGACCCCCCCCCCAACTGGAAATGGAGGGCAAATCTGAGCCTTCGGGTTGGGTTGAGGTGGTTTGGTGGGTGGTGACTGCCGATCTGAGGTCTTTCGTCGCTGCCGCTCTTGCTGCTCTTGACGTCGATGTCGAGCTGCTTCGGGGTGAAGTGCTCCTCGCAGGCGCCGGACGCGGGCGGGACGCCGCGGCGCGGGCCCGTGGCTACGCTTGAATCGGGCGTGTCCCCCTGAAGGGGGATTTTGGGCCAAAAATAAGACATATTTCAAAGTACGCCCATAATGCTTCAAAATAGTCAAAAAAATAGTCCCATGACTATTTCTTGGCTATTTTGAAATATTCCTCCTGTAGAGGCTCCCGTGGCCACGTCTCCCCTTGACCTCCACCTTCCGAACCTTCCGCGCAGCAGCTGCATCCGCGGCGCGGCCGCGAAGACCGCCGAGACAGTCGCTGCGGCCTCGACGGCGGCCTCCACCGCCGCCGCTGCGCGGCATCTGCCGTCCGGCAGGTGCGGGAGGTGGAGGTCCGATGTCGTGATTTTGTCAATACGGGGTCCCCAGAAATCTCGACCCATTCCCCAAGACCGGTTTTTCATCCTGAGCCGTTTTCTGACGGCCCCGGGGCCGGCGAGGGCTCCAGAAGCCGAACAAACAGAACAACCTCCGTCTTGATATTTTCACAAGTCGTTGGATCTCTGGGAAGGTAGAGGTCGAGGGTCCCCCGCGGGCCGCCCTCGCAGCACCGCCCCGAGGGCTCCCTGTGGCCAGGCGCGGGGCCGTGGCCGCACCTCCCCGGGAGAGCCCGCGGCCGAGGAGCCCAGGCCCGCGGGGCCCGTGGAGGAGCTGTGGGCGCCGCGCCCCGCCCGCGCCCGCGGCAGCGGCGGTGGGCTCGCGGCGCGGCGGCCCCCCCCCGTCGCTGGCGTCGGACGCCCAGCCCCCCCCGAGCCATGGGAGAATCACGACGGAAGGTTCTTCTATATCTTTCGACTACGCGCAAGAGCGGCCCTGGGTAAGAGTGACCTCTGGTGCGCGGTTCTCTGGGGGCCGCGGAAGGACCAAAAACGAGCGCGCGAGGCGCGACTACCGCATCGCGTTCGGCGATCGGGGGGGCCCATTGGGCCCGTACCAAAGGTCACTCTGGCGAAAGGTCACTCTTACATGTAGTCGAATCTTCGGCCCCTGGGGGCTGTTACTGGCCCGCAGGACCGTCAGAAAACGACTCGGGATGAGAAGCTGGTCCCGGCGCATGGGTCCGGACCTCTGTGGGTCCCCTGGGAGACACATCTAAACATCTATTTTGGTTGCTCATTTCCCCAGCGGCAACTGCATTCGGAAGGCCCGGATGGCATCGAAAATTCTTCCCTGAATCGTAAGTGTTTTATGGCGCTTTCGCAACGAAAATTAAATACGAATGTATATACACATATATATATATATATATATATATACATACACACATATTTATATGTTTGGAACATATATACGTTTAGATACTAATTCATATTTTCTGAAATACGGGAGGTCGGTTTTCTCCAACATTTTAGATACGGGTCATTTTTATATACGAATGGACATGAATTGATATGTTCAGATACGGCTCGATATGGCGCCCATCGCTTGAAAACGCGTTTACAAACAAATAAATACGAGCAGATACGGCACCTCGTTTCCACTACCAGGCCTAGGCCGCTCAATTACCACGGCCAGGGAAAACAATACTCATGCAAGTCAGGACGACGATGATGATGATGAGGAGGAGGAGGAAGAGGAGGAGGAGGAGGAGGAGAGGGGGGAGGAGGAAGTGAAGTGGGAAATCATGGACGGCGGGCGGGCAGAACTGTCATGAGGATGAGGAGGACGAAACAAAAAAAACAATGTTATTCAATCGCTGATCGACTTCATCCCCGTCCGGACTCCCCCTCCTCTACGTTCTCATTCTGACGCCCCCTCCAACTTTACTTCGTTCCGCTTGCCTCCTCGCCGCGCGTCCTCATCCTCCTCTTCCTCGTCCGCGCCCATCGTCCGAATCACCCCCCCTCCTCCTCCTCCTCCTCCTCCTCCTCCTCCTCCTCCTCCTCTTCGTCCTCCTCCTCCTCCTCCTCCTCCTCCTCCTCATCCTCCTCCTCCTCCTCCTCCTCCTCCTCCTCCTCTTTGCTTTCCCCATCCTACGGTTCCCTGTTCCGACCCAGTTCTCTCCTAATTTTCGTTTCGTCGCTGTCATCCATCCTACTCCTCGTCGTTTTTGTCGTCGTCGCTCGTGTCCTCGTTCCTCATCGCTACGGTTCCCCACTACAGGTTGTTCATATCTAGAGCCGCTCATTTCTAAAACCACTACTGACTCATTCTGCGAAGAATTAGAAACGTAATAACTACGGGGCGACAACTGTCAATCACGATTACGAAATGCTGCATGTGAGTCCCAACGAGAAGAAACACACACACACACGGAACGTACACTACAATATTTGAAATGAACGATACCATACTTCCTGGCACATCAAAAAAAACCATAGATCAACTACTACCAGAATAATCCCGACCATCCTGGTACATAGCTCTATTTCCGGAAACGCACGGGGGGGGGGCGCAAATGCACGGCCAGAAGAACGGACGAGGGTTTGAGGCACAAGGAAGACAACACAGCAACAATCCATTTATTATTATTAATCATAGCACAGCCTGGGCGCCAGTGCAAAGCGCCGCTGTCACTTGGGGAAGCCCCCCGCCGAGAGGAGAGAAGGCCACAGGACCAGGGGGCCATGGCCAGGAGGACCCAGGAACCCAAGACGGCCCAGGCCCCCAGGAGAAAGGAAAAGAGCGGCCCAAGCCCCCGCTCAGCTCTCGGCGGCACGCTCGCGCGAGGAGGCGGCGCGCACGCCCCGCGCAGCCTCGCCTTCCGCCGCCGCCCCAGCCCCGCGGCCGAGCGGGCGCCCCAGCCGAAGGGCGGGCGGGGGCGAGGCGCCCCGTCGGCGCGCCGCGGCAGGCGCGGGCGCGGACCGCCTCGCAGAGGCCCGCCCGCCGCGCCCGTCCACCAGCCTGAGGATCACGTCCATCAGCGCTGGCCCGACCACACCTGATGGCTCCGATGGAGCCCGCCTGGTGGCGCGGTGCCCTGCAGCCCCTCGCCGCCGATCCTGATCATGGCCTTCTGGAACGTGGTCGCGACCTCGGTCGCCCCCATCGCCCTGCGTCCTCGAATGTGCTTCTGGCCGTGCCCGTCCTTGGCCTTGAAGTACTTGAAGCCCTGGCCGCCGACCTGGTCCTGGAGCGCCTTCACTGGCCCCTCGTGGTCGGCTCCCTCCACGACCGCCAAGCTGGCGCGAGAGCGCAACGCCGCCTCCGCGAAGCAGGGCGGCGGCGGCCCCAGGCCGCACAGCGAGGGGCTCATCCCGCGGCCCAAGCAGCCGTAGGCCTAGCCCACATCCTTCACGTTCTTGACCCCGTCGCGGTAGAGCGGCACCTTGGACTTGATGCAGCCCGCCCCGAGGTCGCGGAACAGGGGGCCGAGCGAGAGCACCAGGCACGCCATCGCGGCCACCGCCTCCACGCCCACGCCCCGCAGGCGGCGGGCGCGAGGCCCCGCGGCGGCCCTGGCCCCGCCGCGCGGCAGGGGGGCCGCCACGCCCTAGACCTCCTTCCTCTCGAGTCGGACCTCTTCCCGCGGAGCGACGGCGCCCGCGACGGCCGCCTGGGGGAGCCCCGCCCTCGTCCACGGCTGGTGCACCCGCCAGCGCGCAGCCAGGCGCCTGCCGCATGACAGCGGAGCTTCGGAGGCCGCGGCGGCAGCAACACTGGTCTCCTCCCCGCGAAATGCACAGAGAGGAAATGGCTGTAGTGGTGCCCCAGCGTCGACGACAACTCGCCGCACACAGGACAGCGAATATCATCTGGGACCAACAGCTTCGGCGCCCCAAATGCAAGCCCCCCCGACAATGCCCTCGAGCCAGAGCAAATCTGACATGCTGAACAGCCGAAGCCCGAAACGCAAGAACCGTCCCGCAGAACCCGCACTGGTTCGACACACACAAAGAGGACTCCACCGCCCGATACTTGTGAGAGCTGGTATTGTGCCACAGCAGGGCACGCTCCGAGCAGAAGGCGGCCCCGCACAGACCCTCCGCGCAGGGCTCCTGGCACGCGAACTCGAAGTCCGGGCCGAAAGTGGTCGCCATGTAGGTAGGGTCCACCAGCGATGCCGCGCCGCCGCAGGCACCTCCCGCGACGGTGGGTACTGGGCCGCCCAGCCGCGAACTCGAAGCACTCGCGGATCCAGCTGAAGGACTTCCTCTCACAGGGTTCCTTCCAGCAGCAAGAGGGGGCGCCCGCCCCGCACCACCAGCAAGTCGACGCGCTCCGACGCAAGCATGAGCATCTTCATGTCGTCCACCAGCAGCCTCGCGAGTGGCGATGCTCCCTCGCCCAGGCAGCCGCCCTCGCCCAACGCGGGCTGCAACGCAAAGGGAAACTGTCCAAACAGCGCCGTGAGCTCCATCTCGTGATGCTCGGGATGTCGCACCATGCACTTCATGAACCCGAGCCTCACCACGCGCAGCTCGGTCTCGATGTCCGCCATCTGCAGCAGCTGACGCACGACCTGGGAGGCATGGCCCTGTGCTGGTAGCCCTCCTCCGCCAGGAAGCCCCATCGACACCCTCGCACCCAAAGCCGAACGGCCCAGGCGCAGAGCGGCCCCCCCCCCCAGGGACGCCAGGAAAGACTGCGCGGGCACAACCGCAGCCGTCCCAGAGGGGATGGCCCCCAGCACCTTGGAGCGGAAGACCTGGCGCGACACCTCGACGGAGACCTCAGACTTCCAGAACCGCCCCATGTCCGCGAAGCCCCGCGTGGCCGCCGCCACCCGAGACCTGGCCTCCGCCGCCAGGCCGCCCTGGTAGTGCAGCAACGGGCTGAGGTAGCGGGCGACCGTCGAGCAGTTGCCCCGCGCTCCGAGCCTGCCCGAGAAGAAGGACTTCGTCCAGGCCCTAGCCCCCGCGCCGCGGAAGGCACACATGGTGCACTGCTTGGAGATGTTCTGCTGAAAACCTCTCGGCTCCAGCAGCCTGTCCAACAGCTCGTCGGAGGCCTTGTGGTTCTTGATAACAGTGTCGTGGCACCACGAGACGAAGCGCTTGCAGAGGTCGCCCGCGAACTTCGCGAG